GAGATGGAGTGCTTATGTGCATCCTCCTGTCCCCCAGGTTCCCAATTCCTACATAGTCCCAAGTCTGGACTACGGATGAGGCCGAGTGCTTGAGGCCCTCTGCAGCCAGCACTGGGTGGAGGCTGGGGGAGGAGAATGTTATGTTCTTGCTTTGGCTCCACTTCCCACTTGGGCACAGGGCATTCCACCAGCCCTCTCCTCTCGCCTCCCACGACAGCCACAAACTTAGGGACTGGATGAGGATAACTGGCCTGCATGGAAGACGTAGGGCAGGACACCATTCTGCTGCCTTATTTTGCCACCTGACAAAGGAACCCAGATAGACACATGGACACCGAGGCACATCGCCCCGTTTCATTTTCTTTCTGTGGTGTTGCACTTGCTGCTGGCTGGACAAGCTTTGCAAAAGCGGCCAGGTTCCCATTGCCACCAGTTCCAACCACTTCCTCTCCCTACAGGACAGTTATTGGAGCATCACCCCAAAGTGACTGACAATACTTTGTTACCCAAACCGGATGACCCCTTTTTTACATTTTTCTGTATTTCTTGGGAGGAAGGAGTCATTTGCTGTCATACTTTTAACATCTGGGAGAAGGAAAAGCAAGAATGAGGCTGAATCTAGTATTTCTGAAAGAAAGAGGTGATCTCAGACCTCTTCCAAACCAGCAGGAAAGGCAGGAGAGGTAGCCCCAACTCATCCAAAGAGAGAAGCGAAGAGGAGGAAAGATGAGGAGTTGGAGACCGATGCTTTGACCAAGAGTTCCAGTCTTTACGAAAATGGAAAATGTCTATGTCCCTGCACCAGCCTCTACCCTCCAAATAACTCAGGAAGAGCCGGGAATCTGTGTTCCCCAAGAGCGCCCCAACATGAACACAGCTCTCCCACACTTATTACTCCTCAAGATCCTATTTTTAAACAGGTCCTGCTGATTGTTGCATTCTCCCCATGCAGGCAAGGAAGCCCAGGGTTGGGCTGGGGTTGGGGTTCGGCGTGCACAGGAGTGTCTGGCTCCTTCTCTCCAATCCTGATGGAGCCGGGTTGCACTAATTGACCTCCAGGGTCTCCGCCGTGCTAAGCCGGGTGTTTGTTAGATCTCGTTAAGCTGGTAATTAGTGCAGAGAATCTAGGTCAGAGGGAGCCGGTTGGAGTGATGGTCTCAAGGGGCAAACGTACAGGCAGGGAATCAGCAAACAGGTTCCTCGTTCTGTGGGTGCGGTGAGCCAGGGACAGGGAAGGGTGGGACTCAGACAAACAGACACGTGCAGAAAGGCGTTCAGAACTGGTGGTGTGTGTGTGTGTGTGTGTGTGTGTGTGTGTGTGTGTGTGTGTTCGTGTGTTCGTGTTCCCTCCCGTATTTACTCGGGTTTCTTTCCAATCTCTCCATATATGGTTTGGCTCTAGACCGAGCTGGGGATTGGCTGCTGTTGTTGGGAGACCGGGAGGTAGGAAGAAAGCAGAGAGAGAAATGCACCAGGCAAAGCAAGGGGGTGAGAGGAGGGAGGCAGCTGTGCTGAGACCCAAGGATGCAGAATGGGGCTGGGCTGCTTGCCTGTGGGTTTAGAAAAAGGAGAGGGTCTTTGGGACTGGATTTTCATTTTGGGAGAATGTTGGAGAGGGGCAGGAGCTATTTCTCGGGGGTCAGAAGAAATCTTAACGAGATCTAACAAACACCCAGCCACAGCATGGCTCCTAAAGGCTGGAGCAGGAGTTAGAGAAACTGGCTGGGTCTCCCTCTTGTCCGCCCCTCCCCCCCTTTTTTTCACCCTAAGGAACCCATAACAATGCTGTGGAAATAAGGAAATTGCATGCAAATTAACTCATCAGCTTTCCAGATCATCACCTCAGGCAGTCTTCCTGATGGTGCAAGACCTGGACTGTTCCCCAGACCTGTAGCTGTTCCCCCAACCACTTAACAATTTAAAGAGGAAAAACAAGAAAAGCTGAGGAAATGCCACTGAGATCTGAAATGGCACTTGGTTCTTTGCCTGTCTCTGCCTCTCACCCGCTTGAACTCTTGTCCTGGATCTCCTCCCCTCCCCATCCTAGGGCCTCCCAATGATTTTCCCTTTTCCAGTCCAACAGTGTAAGAATAGAATATAACAAAGTTGTGGAGCGAAAAGTGTGTGTGTGTGGGGTGGGGGGGGGAGGAGGACTGGGAGGGGAGATAAATGGTATTCATCCTGAAAAATCTCTACTGGGAACTGTGTAGTAAGCAAGTTGTCCACATCCCCCAACTCCCTCTACCCATGTACCCCAGAATACAGTGACCAGGAGCAGTAAGGAAACCACTGCGGGTGAAGACACTGGGCTGATGGGGTGAGGGAGGAGAGGTGCTGGGTGGGGGGAGGGGAGCTACAGTGGCAGCATTATCGCCCCCAGGCGGAGTGCCCATGCTCACAGTCTGTTAACAGAAATCATGGCAGCGCCACCATCAGGGCACACCTGAAGCTGTGTTTCCAGCGGAAGCTTGGCTCTGTGCTGAGCTCTGGAATTCTTTCTGCCGCTGGCCCTCAGCACAGTGCCTGGGCACAGCCTGTGCACTGGGTGAGCTCCCGGACGAGAACAAAGTGACAGCGATTAACCCCGTGGCCCAGGCCTCATTCCAAGCTGCTCCGCCACCTGAGCTGGCTGTGCCTGGCCCACTGAGTCACGCTGATAGCAGCAGCTGCCGCAGCCACAGCTGCCCCTTCCCGAGTGAGCGCCAGAGGCCAGCTACCGACGGCCAGGCATCTCCCACAGGCTGTGCCCATCCAACAATAACTCCGCCTGCAGACGAGATCACTGACTCTCAGGAAGCTTGCGCTCTGCCCAGAGCCTCGTGTAACTAAAGTCAGAATTTGAGCCCACATCTGTTTGGCTCCAAAATTGGGCTCCTTTTGCCACCTTGTGATCTGGTTCTGGTGCCCGAAGACCCCAGGAGCTCAGTGCCCAGCTCTTGGTGGCCCGGGGCCCCCAATCTTCCTTTTCCGCTTCCCCTCACCTGTCATCCTTCTTTCCAGAGTCTCCTCCGTCCTCTAATCCCCTTAGGAGCCACAGGTAACTGACATGTTGGGACACACATGCCATTCTTGCTCATGTCTTTTTCTTCATTACGTGGGAGCGACAGAGGAGGAAAGAAGGGAAAAGGAAATTCGTACGAAGATGGAGACTTATATAATGTTTTTTGTTGTTGTTAATCCTCACCTGAGGGTATTTTTTCCATTGATGTTTAGAGAGTGTGGAAGGGAGGGAGGGACAGAGAAACATCAACATGAGACACATAGATTGGTTACCTCCCGCACCTGCCTCAACTGGCGCTGGGGATTGAACCTGCAACCCAGGTACATGCCCTTGATCAAGAATTGAACTGGTAACCGTTTGGTGGCAGGTGCTCGAACCACTGACCATGCCAGTCAGGGCAAAAGTATTATTTAACCTAGACTTTCAATGTTTGTGACAATGGCCTGCTGCCCATGCTTAGAGTTTAGGAGGGTGACTCTGCTTGGAGGACAAAGCCCAGAGACCCAGATTCCCTCACCTGCTGCCCGGGGAGACTCTGGGGATGGCTTGTAGGTGGCACTCGTGTGCACTCCTCCCCACTTGGTAGGCACATTCCCAGGGAAGAGACTAGTGTAGGTAACCACAGGCCAGATCTAGGGAATCATGCCTGTGAGTGGCGGGGACTAAAAACAGCAATCTCTCCCCTAGAGAGAGTGTAACTTGGAGAGATTCCCTGTCTTGCTTGCATGGGTTTTGGGAGTGATAATGTCCGAGCAGAACAGGAACTGAAGGGTCTGTGTTTCATCCAAAGGTTTTACCTTCTCTCCCTTCTATCCTCCTGAATGTCAGTCATCTTGGGGCAGCCTCAGAGCCGGGACCTGCCAGCCGATGCCCCATTGTCCTCATTTCCGCCCCCTTCTTCCTTCCCATCCCTAAAAGCTCTAGGGAAGCTGACCAAGTGCCAAAAGTGTCAATACCGCATTTACTTGGTCCATGAGGCTCTGTCCTTCTTCCCAAAATCACCCAAATCTGGCCTTCACAATCCTCCTCTGGACCTGACCTCTTGTTACTAAACCTGATCTTAGAAATGTCAGAGGAAAGAAGGCAACAGAATGAAGTGAGCTGTGGAGGCCCTGCCATGAGGAAGCCTGCAAGGGAACATGTTGGGAGGCGAAGCAGAGATGCTTTTCTAGAGCTGGGCCTGATTGGTGTTGGAGGGAGGTCTGAGGAAGGAGGGGGAGGCTGCAGGAAACCCAGCTCGGCCAAAAGAGGAACCTGGGCACATGTTCGGTTTTCCCCTCCATCCAACCCGGCTTGCATCACAAATCAGTTTCAGTCTTAGTCTGGCTCTTCGGCTGAGGTCAGCTGTCCTCAGTTCCTCTCTGCTAGGACCCTCTCATCCAACGACCAAACCCATCCCACCTCCCTCCGTGTCTCTCAGTCAGTGTTGGGAAGGGTCTTGGGAGGCAGGCAGGCAGGCAGCTCAGTCTCCATCGGGGCTGGCCGGGAGTGAGAAGCCAGTGCCGACAGGGAGGATTTTAATCCCCCAATCCTCTCAGGCCTGGGAGAAGTTTCCCTTCTGTGTGCGTGGACCAGTGGCTCTGGCTTCCACACCCCTGGAGCTAAAATTCCACCCTCAGATTGAAAGCTTGGGACCCGCCCTCCATCTTAACATCCATACAAAGCATATTGCCCCGCCTCAGAGGATGGCGTGTGTGAGATGGTCAGACTGTGCCTCTGCCACCCTCCTTTCTCTCTCTCCATCTGGGCAAAGCTGCCTAATCCTGCCACAGGGGTCACCCCCCCCCCCCACATCTGAGAGCGGGGCAAGGAAGGGAAGGGGGTCGGGGAAAGGAAGGTTGCAGGAGGGTCTGGCATCAGCAAGAGCCACAAGTTTGATTGTGTTTTTGTTTTCTTTTTTTTTAACTGAGGTAAATAAAAAAGCTTTATCCTGCAACACCTGGAGATCAGAGTCTGTGCCCCCGCCCTCCCAGGTTCCAGACCCGGTCCCCGTCGTCCTTCACATGAGGCTCTTCCGGCACTGGCTGTGCTGGGCCGTCTGTCGGAGGTGGGAGTCGGGGGTCTGCAGGTCCATCAGTCGGTAGAGGTCCCTCAGCTCCCGGACCTCCTGCAGCACCCTCTTGGCCTGGCTCCAATTCGAAGACGCCTCTCCCAGCAGCCGCTCGGTCTTCAGCAGCAGCTGCTCCGACTCAGAGTCGGGAGGAGACCGAGGGGGGTCCTTGGCCTTTCGCTTCCCGTCTCCCAGTCCCTGAACCTCCGCCAGCAGCTCCTGAGTCTTCTCCAGTTTCCTCGCTACCAGGTCCTGGATCCGGGACAGCTGCCCCGGGTGCGGGGGGGTGCGGGCGGGGGGCTCCTCGGCCCGCGGGTGGAGGGCGCAGGCCGGGGCAGTGTCCCGCTGAGACAGGATCTCCTCCAAGGAGGCGCAGCGGCCTTTCTCGGCGGGGGTCAGCTTCTTAGGGGCCTGGGGGGTGTAGGTGGCCCCCTTGCTCGGCTTTTCCCAAGGCCGCGGGAGGCCGCTCGCCCGGTCCGAGGGCTGGATTCGGTCCGAGTCCGCTCTCCGCCGGCTGCCCGCGAGCTGGGCCACTGACTTGTCCAGGTCCACCCGGAAGCTCTCAGCACAGGAGGTTGGCTCCTCAGGGGAGGGGTCTTCCTCCTGGATCAGGTCCAAGGTCAGCATCCCGTCTGAGGTAGAGGTCGAAGCCTGGAGAGGGAGAGGCGGGAGGGAGGGGTGAGCCATCGTCAGTGGGCATTGCAGGAGCGGCTGTCCCCGAGACGCAAGCTGTGCCCCTTCCCTCCTTAGCACCTTCCCGGCTGAGCCCTCTGACTGCTCCTTCCTATTCCTGCTACCAACTTGGACTTCGCTCTTTTACTTTCCTGTGATTAAAAGAAATTCCTCAGGAGTGTTTCCCACATCCTCCACTTTGCTAAGAGCTTCCTGAAGAGGGTCGTTTTCCTCTGCACCGTGGACTCTAAGCATCGCACTGGGCCTGACACAGGATGCTCCACTCAGCACGGCACCTGCATCCTCTGGGCCACACCCACCCCTCTGCTCCTGGGCGCTCAGAACCCCTTGCCTTCCAACCAAATGTGTTTTCCAATTTCTAGAATACTCTAATTAAAAACAAGTGCTAAGGGCAGTCAGTGCCGCAGCTGCATGGACACAGATGTGGTTTCACACACGGCAGCCCTTTACGGCGGGCGATCACCGCCCTAATCTACAGGCGGGGACACGCAGTTTCCGGGAACCAGAGTGAACTAATTTGCAAAGCTGGGTTCCCACCCAGGTCTGACTCTGGAGCCTAGCTTACACTCCTTCCACCTGACTGCCCCTCCTCCTAGAGAAGCACCTCTTTGTATGTTACGGGGTGTGTGTATGTATGTGTATGTATGTGTGTGCGCGCGTGTGTGCACGCATGTGTGTGTGTGTGTGTGTGTGTGTGTGATCCTTCCTCCTCTGAGCCTGTGGAACATAACGCTGTTACCTGTCAGGACACTGCCACCAGAGAGTAGCTTATCCTGCCTTTGCCACTTTCCCCCAAAGGATGATGAGGCCTTAGAACTCACAGGAGATGCTGAACACACATTTCTGAACGGGAGGAATCAGGAGGGCGGGCGGGGACAGGGACTTCCCGGCCTGTGACCCTGGTACTACAAATGCCTCGGGTGGGATCTCTGAGCGACAGCCCTAAGATGGACTGACGTGGACCCGGCCCTTCGGCAGTCTGCACTCTCCTACGTACCACGGCCATTAGGTGTCCCCGCGTGGGAGGGCGGCGGGAGTGCTGGATCTTCGCCCTGTCTCGAGTCGGGTGGGCGAGAGAGCTGTCCTCTTCCACCGTGACCTGAGGAGAAGCACTGTGAGGCCGTGACTGCTCTTCAGAGACTCAGTCCAACCCCGCATCCCCTGAGGCCTGAACATGCCCGGGCTCGGACAGAAACCTTCCCACGAACTGCTTCTGAGCAAGTCCAAGGGCAAGGCTTCCTGGATAGGACGGGGCTCCTCAAGCTAGCCCAAGGCTGGCCCCGGCCTCACATAGCAGGGGAGGGGGAGTTAGCAGAAAAGGCTGAGAGGGTAGGAAGAGAAAAAGGGTTTTTGAAAGGGAGCTGGTGAGGGAGCAAGTCAACGGGAGGCCGCACCCTCACCCCCCCTCTTTCGTGAGCCCCAGCAGCTCCCCCACCCCAGCACCCCTCTCCCCACAAGAGCGTCTGACCTCGTCCAGGATGCGGTTCTTGGCCCGGGTGATGGCAGAGTTGAGGGCGTTGATCCACGATTCCTTCTCTTCTGGACTCACCGCCAGGAAGATCAGGTTGGGTGCCTGTGAGGGGAAGATTCTTGTTTCAGCCAGTGAAGAAATAAGAAATTATAATCTCATTCTCCGAGACCCTGCTCCTGGAAGGAAAAAGATTCTGCTTCCAGAGTCACCCATCACTTAAAGAAACTGGCCTCTATTCCTGCAAAATGCCACAGCTTGCAAGTTGTTTTAGAAATGACCAGAGAAGAGTTGAGAAGGGTCTTGGGTATTAATGTGCGACTGGAAATAACTGCAGGAGGTTTGCTGAAGGACAGTGCTCAAATAAAGGTTTTTAACTGTTTGAGGAAATAGAATGCGACATGAATGGCTCGCCTTAGCCAGGAGAAATTAGATCCAGAAATTCAACCACGTTATCAGGATACAGGGAAAAGTGATTTTCTCCCAAGCAATGTGTGTGTGTGCATGTGTGCCTGCGTATGTGCGTATGCAAGGGAGAGGGAGGCAGGGGTGTACGTGCGTGCATGGGTATGCAAGGGAGGGAAGGAGGCAGAGAGAGGAAGACAATGACCTTTGTTTGAAGGCTGGCTTGCCGGAAGGGCAGGAAATGGCCACAGTCTTCTCAGGCTAACTAATAAAAGCTGGCAGGAGAGCAGTAATCCAGGGCCTCTGAGCCAGAAGGCCGAGGGAGAGATCCTGGAGGGGACAGGTGTTCTCCCAGCCCTCTCCCGGGCCCTGACCTCATCCAAGATGCGATTCCTGGCCCTGAGTGATGGCCGCCCTGAGGGCAGGGCTGTAGTGCGTCAGAGGTGTGGGAACCGTGACCTGGTCAGTGCTCCTGCGGCCGGGAGGCAGGGAAGACATACCGTGTTCCCGGGCTGCTTGCAGTGGGCAAGCGTGAACTTGCTATGGTTTTTCTTGCTCCTGCTCTTGGATTTCCGGAGCTCTTCACACTTCTCATAGTCACTCAAGTCAAACACCTCCTGGATATTTTTCTCATCTTTCACCTGGGGGAGGGTGGGAGGTGAGGTGATGAGGATAGAGTTACTTAGTCTCTTCCCCCCAGTTGTTAGATCAGTCTTGGGGACAGAGGAAGCCTGAGGGGGAGGGATGACAGGACAGGAAAGGCCTATCCCACCCAAGGCCCCACCGGGGATGTGCCTGCAACCAAGGTACATGCCTTTGACCAGAACCGAACCTGGGACCTTTCGATCCGCAGGCTGATGCTCTCTCCACTGGGCCAAACCGGTTTCAGCCTTAGCTGGGTTTCTGCTCACACTCCTCCCGACTGTGCTCTGCCAAGCACCCCAGGATGTTGCCCTTGTCCACGACACCCACTTTGTCTTTCCTTCAGAGGACAGGCTCACACAGCTACCAGGCTAACCCTGTCATCCCAAAGGCAGCAAGACCCGACAGCCCTGGGTTGTCCAGAGGGCGGAGATGAAGGCAGGGCCTGTCAGGGGGTGTCTGGCGGCCTCTGGCCTCCCCCATCTCATGTTTACGTTGTCCTGTTGTCGCCTTCTTACCCTACGTGGCTCATTCCCCGACAAATGCTATTATACAGAGTCGTCTCCCTCCTTCATTTCAGGAGTTTCCTTCAGTTTGCTCAGGGAAGCCGAAAAATAGACGTGAGGCTCCCTCCTTTCTCCCTCCCCTCACGGTAGTGTGCCGGCCCAACCGAGCTCTTCAGGCTTGAAAAGCCATTCCAGCCGCCACCTCTCTCCAGCCGGCTGCATCATTCTCTCCCTGGAGGACCGAATTCCAGACTGGAAGTAAGTCTTCTACCATCTCCTTCCGTGACTGCAGTGTGAGAGCCCAAGGCTCCGTTCTGCCAGGAAGTTCTTCCTGCGTCTAAACTCAGCCTTTCCCGCCTGCAGGATCTGTCTTGCACCCTGGTTCTGCCCTGCGCAGACCCATCCAGCCGTTGGCTCTTGCCTCTCTTGCGAAACCAGAGGCCACAATTCTATCTACATCCTCCAACCCCAACCAGCATTTTCCGAGTTCCACAAGGCAAATTCCATTAGCATTTCTTCCTTTTTAAACCTCTCAGAGTTGGTCCCCCCCCCCCCCCCCCCAGGTGTCTCCCCTAGCCCTGGGGTTCAGGAGCCGTGGCTCAGGGGCTGCTGGGGCCTGTGAGAGGAAAGGAGACATGGTTGCTGGCCCAGGGGTAGCAACCTGCGGTCAGAAAACCCATTCACCCTCCGCTGCTGGAGTCTGGGGTCGGCAGACTGGCAACGAGCTGGTCCTGCTTTTCTGGGAAGCGAGACCGGCACTTGTCCTGGTAAAACGGGACAGATAGAAGCAGCCGCCTATCTTCCCTGTATGCAAGGGAAGACATCCGCTCGCCCTGACGGGACTATTGCACAAGTCTCTCTCCCCGCTTGTCAAGCTCTGAACCAGGGATTGTGTGTGTGGCGGAGACTATCTGTCCTCTTGGTTCTCAACAGCCTTGACGTAGGGAAGTGGCTCTCTCTTCTACCCCCCAGCTCATCTCTGGCCTTGCACCTGCCCGTCCTTCTGACTGGCCGCCGGACCCAGGGGCTGACGTAGGTGACAAGAGCCCATCACACAGCCCCAGTCCGGTGAGACGGCTGCTCGCACACCCACTCAGCTTCTGTGTGGCTCCTCAGGGCTCTCCCTTTTCCAGGGCGCCCTGGCTTTGAGCCGGGAAGGGATCAGAGGCTTTGAAGGATTATGGGTAGACGTACACAAGATGCTGGCAAGGAGCATAAGAACAATTCCCAGAAACACGGGCAGGGGTGTGGGGTAATGCATCACTCCTCTTCTCCCCTCCTTCCTCAGGGCTGAGACTGTGAGCAGAGGCCAGAAATCTTGGAGAGGAAAGAGCTGGGTGTGTGTATGAAGCAGGGGAAGAGAGTTACTTTTTGTTTTCCTTGGGGGAAGGAAGGGAAGGGAAGGGATAAGGGAAGGGGAGAGAAGGGAAGGGGAGGAAAGGGAAGGGAGGGGAAAGGAGAGGGAGTTTTGGCTTGGACACAGCTGATAAGGAGCTCTGGGGGCAGGAGACACATGGACAGAGGTGAGCACTTGGTAGGGCGGGGAGGGGTAGGAGATGGCTGACGCCAGTGTTAGGACAAGTATGTTCCAGTCCCCGGGAAGACGGACAGCTCCAAGACCCTTGCTCTCCACTATACTGTTTCCCCCTCTCTGATTCCCAAAGTCTCATTGATAATTACCCACCTTCCAAACTTAACCCTTCCATTCCTGGGTTCTTTGTCCTCGGCCCACAGAAAGGGATTTTCCCACGCCTGCCAAAAACGGTGCCCTGAACGGAATTTCCTCTACCACCAGCTCTCTCTGAGGTCTAGTTTCTGCTCCTGTACAGCAGCCCCTTTGACTGGAAACGAGGGGGGGATTTAACAACAAATACAAAAGGATTTCTTTGATGGAGGCAGTTGTGGGACTCTCTGCCTTTATGAGGGGAAGAACCAAAAAAGACTTACAAATTCTAGGGGAAGGAGAGTTTTCTTACATTAACATGTAACTTACAAACATACTTTGCATTTCTTTTTTAAAATCTTGAATCTACTGGCTCTGGAGCTTTTGGGAAGTAGACAGACTAAAGCCTGGAGTCCTCTGGCAGTTTCACCTTTAATCTAGTCCCATGGTCGGCAAACTGCGGCTCTCGAGCCACACGTGGCTCTTTGGCCCCTTGAATGTGGCTCTTCCACAAAATACCTCGGCCTGGGCGAGTCTATTTTGAAGAAGTGGCGTTAGAAGAAGTTTAAGTTTAAAAAATTTGGCTCTCCAAAGAAATTTCAAACGTTGTACTATTAATGTTTGGCTCTGTTGACTCATGAGTTTGCCGACCACTGATCTAGCCCATTGTGCCATGGAAACTGGCTCCAAAGAAGAATAACAATAGTCTTGTTCTCTTTTCCTAGGCCCTTCTCAGGAGGGGGCCATGAGCAGTCAGATGCTCCTGACTCACAGGACACCACACATCCTAGGCTGAGGTCATTCCATCCTTTCCCATCACTGTACCCCTTCCTCCAAACACAAGGCTCACCCATGTTCTCTCACCCCCTGACTTTGTTCTTTGGATAAATACAATCAAGAAAAACATCTGCCCTTTCCCTGTCCTCAGGTTCTCTGACGTGTGGGAAGCCCTCCCTGATGGCTCACTCCAGTTTCCTGCCATTATGAAGGTCGGGGGAGACAGGAGATACACTCTGACACTTGCTTTTTTTTTTTTTTTTTTTTTTAACTGGAAAGCCAGCTAAATTGTGTAATAACTTTCTGTAGCACTGGAGTTGGGTGGAGGGGACCTTTAAAAATAAGTCCTCTTGCCTGGCTGGTGTGGGTCAGTGGTTGTGAGCATGGCCAGGAGGTCACAGTTCGATTCCCAGTCTGGGCACCTATGCCTGGGTTATGGGCTTGATCCTCAGTGTGGGGCGTGTAGGAGGCAGTCAATCAATGATTCTCTCTCGTCATTGATGCTTCTCTCTCACCCTCTCCCTTTCTCTCTAAAATCAATAAAAATATTTTTATTTTTAAAATATATTTTATTGATTTTTTTACAGAGAGGAAGGGAGAGGGACAGAGAGCTAGAAACATCGATCAGCTGCTTCCTGCACACCCCCCACTGGGGATGTGCCCACAACCAAGGTACATGCCCTTGACCGAAATCAAACCTGGGACCCTTCAGTCCGCAGGCCGATGCTCTATCCATTTAGCCAAACCGCCTTCGGCAATAAAAAGATTTTTAAAAAATCCTCTTGTCAAAGTCTCCTCGCACCTCACTCCCTCACCAGGTTCTCACCAGGGAAGCAGCAGGGTTGGACACCCAGAGGGATGTCTTTGGCCCCCGAGTTCCTTTCCTCCCTCGTTGTCTCAGTGGATGTGCTGTTCAGACGAATCTCTCTATGGGACCGTGTGTGGGGCTGTTTCAATACCATAAAAGGATTTATTTACCTAAATATAGTCAACTACCGAAAGCAGAAGAGGTTAGGACTCAGGGAGGACTTCCCAGTTGGCCCCGGCTGAGGGAACACCAAATTGGGGGGGGGGGGGGGAAAGGGCCATCCTGCCCCGGGGCACAGGACAGGCTCTGGGCTGTGCTGCCAGCCGCGGAGGCAGGGACTGGGTGCCTTCTAGCCCTCGGAAGGGCACTTTAGTTTCTCAATGGGACTTCGTGTTATGAATCCCAAGAACGAGAGCTAAAAGGGACAAGAGTCTGGACTCATTGGTCTTGGCTCAGGTGCTTTCCCAATGTGGACTGTGGTTTTCATTTCAGCTGAAGACATAGATCCAGGAGTTCATAGCTACATTCGCCTCCCTTCTGGGGGAGGACGAGGGGCTGGAAGAGGGTGAAAAATGAATTCTTTGCTTCTTTTTAATTTTTTTCCTTTTTTTTTTTAGTGGAATTGGGGGGGGGGGCACGTCATTAGCTTCAACAGAAATAACGGTCTGCCACTCGCAAACGCTCCACCTCCATCGCCTAAGACTGACCCTGGGCTGTGCGTGTGTTTGTGTTCCCGGCAGCACAGCTGCCGCGCTGACCTGCGTACGCTCCTGCCTCAGGCAGGAAGGGGTGGGGGGGCGGCAGGAAGGGGTGGCGGATATGCTGCTGTTCGCAGAGCGTTTGTCAGCAGCGAGAGCAGAGAGAAACACCCCCACTTCAGCCAGAGACCGGGACAGGGGGCACCGGGGACACGTAGGGAACATCTGGGGACATCATCGTGGTCAGAAAGGCATCCATTCGCCGAGAAACATCACTAAATAAGATGCAGCCTCAACTTCTAACTCCGGTCTTCTCGCTCAGTTCAGGGTGACCTTTCCCAGCAGCTATCAGTGGTGGGGGGCGCTGAACTTGCTTTTGGAGCAAAGTGGGGGGCTGGGTAAACCTGGGACATTAGAGGCAGATCAGCCCCCCCCGGCCCCCCCCCCCCAGAGACAAGGTGGGGAACAGGAGAAGACAGGGAGCTGGAGGCTAAGGGCACCCACCTCCTTCTCGGAGATGTAGAGCTGGTCCCCTCTCAGCACCACGTAGCGGTTTTTCCAAATCTCCCTGAAAATGCCTTTCCCGCAGAATTTCCGGACCCAGCCGACCTTCTCGGGCAGCGCAGACTGGTGATTTCCATCCTGAGGCCCCTGTGCCCGGGCAGGAGAGGAGGGGGCAGTCAGGAAGGGGCAGTTAGAGGACCACCGCTTTTCCCTTCTCTGCACCCAGAGCCTCGAGACCCCTCTTTGGGGGGACAGCCCCGCGGAGGCTGGAGTCCCGGGCCGGGGTCCGCTCCCCACTTCCTCAGAGGCTCTCACTCCGAGGGGCTCTCCCCTCGGTTCTCCTCCTCCGTCTCCCACATGAACAACTGCCCCCGCGGCGGGGCCGGGGGCCTGGGCCGCGGGGGCCTCCGGTCGCCACGGGTCCCGCCCCCTCCCCCAGCCGGTCCTCGGGCGCCGGATTAACGGCGTTTCTTTAATTTCTCATTGTCTCCGCCGCAGAGCCGTGCACCCTGCAGCCGGCTCCGGGGGACAAGGGCTGGGGTCGGGCGCACGGCCAAGTGACACCCCCACCCAAGTAAACAAAAGCCCCCTCCCCGGCGGGGGCGCGGGCAGCGGGGCCGGGTCGGGCGGGGGCTCACGCCGAGCGCGCGGCCGCTCGCAGCCCCCACGGGCCGGGGTCCCCGGAGCGCAAAGTGGGGCGCGGGGCCGCGCACACTCACCCTCTTGGAGGAATTGTTTTTCTTCATCATGCCAGGGCTGCGGGCCCGGGGGCGAGGACCTGGGGCCTCTTCCCGGGGCGGGTGGCGGAGATGCCCCCGGCGCCGCGCTCCGCCCTCCCTCCCCCTGGCGGACTCGCCTCCTTTGTAGCTCCGGTTACACCCGGGCCCGGCCTCCCCGCCCGCTCCTCGCACACACGCCCGCTCCCCGCCCCCCGGCGCCCTCCATCCCGCCGCCCACGCGGCCCGGGCCCCCGAGCCCCCGCCGGCCCGGCCCGCACCGCGCGCTGTGGCCGCCCGGCCCGCGCCCCGATCCCAGGCAGCGGCTGCTGACGTTGCGAGTTCAAAATAAAGGGCGAATCGCGGAGCCCGAGCGGGTGCGCTCCCCCCGCCTCCCTTTGTTTCTGACTCTGAGGGTGAGGAAGACAGACCCAAACCCCGCCGCCGGGACCCAGACTCAGACAGAGGGAGAGTGAGACCCACAGACCCGGGACAGGCAGACCCTGCGGACCTGGCGTGCGACCTGGCCGGGGAGACCGGGAGGCGGATGGGGCGGATACCAGAGACAGAGAGGTGCGGGGGGTAAACCCAGATCTGGACCGGCTCCCTCCCAACCCGCACAAAAACAAGCGCTCCAGCTGGGAGGGCGCGTCACCCACAGCTGGCATCCGGAAGTCACATCCCCAGGTGGTGGAGACAGCGGCCTGGGCAGGTCGGAGGATGGGGAAAAAAGTTTTATGCCTCGGAGGGTATCCGTGTGTAGGGGCCCCGCTGTGGGGAGAGAGTTAATATTCATAGACACTTCTTCCAGTTTGCAAGGCTGCAGGCCTTCCGTGAGCCTGTGGTTCAGGAGAATCACCCTGAGAATGTTATGATCTCCATGGCACACGGGGAAGGGAGACCCAGAATGGCTGAGCGGTTTGCAGACACACACTGTGAGTGCTGGGAGGAATAGAACTCTCTCTAAAGTGTAATCCGTTGTATCCGATGGCTTGAACTAGCCCCGGGTCTCTCTCACATGGAAAACCCCATCCGGGCTACCTCATGGAAGGGAAGGGCTCCATGCCCACACCTGGAATCCCTCCTTCATCCCATTTGCCTCGGAGCCGACCAACTTCTCAGTAACTTCATTGTTTTCCCAGGACATGGTGAAGGGGAAGAGGGAGACAAGAAACCTAGGTTTGGGTACTGGTTTCATCACTGCTCTGAGGCCTTTGGGCAAAGCAGCTGAATTTCTTTAGGCCTCAGTTCCTTCACATATTAAATAGTGAGAGATGAGGATGCCATTTCCATCCATAAGGAGAGCCAGGACAATATCAGATGATCTGTGGAAGTCTTTCGAACAAAAAAGTATTGCCCTCTAAGCTACTTATTGAATACCAGCAAGCTAACCAACACATTGCCTGGCATATGGTAGGCACAATAACCACAAAAATGAAGGCCTGGCACAGAGAGGGGGGGAAAGGAAGAACTCTTTACCCAGACATGTCTCAAGATAAAGCTGTTGGCCAAGTTTGTGGTTTGAAAAGTGGCTAGGTCTTGGCTTTTTCTGGTATCTGTCAAATGAAGGAGGGGACTTCTCTCTTTTCCCAATATTCCCTTACCCCCTAATCCAATAATATCCCTCTTCACTGCTTTTCATGTACCATACTAATTAACTCCTCTGTATTAGACTGGTATAGTGCTCTTATATGTTATTTCTTTAAATATTTAGTGCTACCTTGTGAGGTATATGGAACAAAGAAGGACATGCAAATCAACTAACTTAATACACAGCAAGGTACTGGCTAACTGGGTTAAAATCCAGTCTGTTTAGGTTTTGTACTCACACCATCATCCTTTTCCGTCATCTCTTTCCCACCTTCTATTTTTACAAAGTGATTTTAAACGAATGGGAAAGTCCAGAAGATCATCATAAATGAAGCAGCAAAATACCCCCATGATCTGGTGAGAAAATGAACCTTGTATGATCTTTGGAGGGCTTGGACCTAAGTGGTTTGGATTTAGAGTTTCAATAGATTCTGGTTTATGGTGGGAAAGTAATTCTTATTTGCCCTCATTTTGGTCAACTAATATTTGAGTGCCTCCTATCTGTGAGGTCCTAGGGTCGTGGTATGCTGCCTAAGACAGGAGCGGGAGCTTTGTGGAACATCAGCCAGAGAGAAGGACGGCTGAAATACCAAAACCCTCCCAAGTAATTTTCAGATTCCAGAACAGATGCATGTGGGCTGGAGAGCCTTCCCTGCCTATCTGCTCCTTAAGATGTTACATAAATCTGCGCGCTCTTTCTCTTTCTCTCTCTCTCTCTCTCTCTCTCTCTCTCTCTCTCTCTCTCTCTCTCTCTCTCTCTCATTCCTGCACTACCTCATTATTCCCCTACCTCCCCTTACTCTGTGTCCCTTTGTCCTGTTACTCATCCCTCTTTCCATGCTCCATACTCTTTGAACTGTTCTTCAAGCTGACTTCTCTCACCATGGCACTAGAATTGGGATCTATGAATTGTGATTATTTCCAAAGACCAATTCTTAAGAGAGAAATTTCAGAGTAAGAATTTCTGGCTGAAACCGGTTTGGCTCAGTGGATAGAGCGTCAGCCTGTGGACTGAAAGGTCCCAGGTTTGATTCTGGTCAGGGGCATGTACCTTGGTTGCGGGCGCGTCCCCGGTGGGGGGTGTGCAGGAGGCAGTTGATGGATGACTCTCTCTATCCCTCTCTCTTCCTCTCTGTAGAAAAATCAATAAAATATATTATATAAAAAAAGAATTTCTGGGTTCCTTTACACATATTCATAGCATCGTCTCCTCAGTGAGCTCGACTCTACCACACACACAGATCACAAAAATAACTCAAGCCAGATTCTCTTCAGTGGAGATAAGATACTGGGAGGACTTGATGGGGTTACCGCCCTTACTGCATCGCCATGGATAAGACACAACTGCCAATAGCTTTATTCTTCAACTATTTTATGAGTAACTCCACACAAGGGAGGGAGAAGGGAGCTATCAGAGATAAGGACTTGTGAATTGCTGCCTGCAAGTTTACTGACAGGAACTATTATCAAAACATTTGTTTAAATAAAAACAAGTACTTTGGCTTTTGTAGACTAAATGAGACATAGGGGTTCTGACTATGGAAGAGAGCTCATTAAAAGCATATAGGACCTTACCGGGCCAGTGTGGCTCAGTAGTTGAGCATCAACCTAAGAGCCAGGAGATGATGGTTTGCCGATTCCCCATCAGCACATGCCTGGGTTGCAGCCTTGATCCCCAGTAGGGGGTGTAGAGGAGGCAACCGGCCAATGATTCTCATCATTGATGTTTCTATCTCCCTTCCTCTCTGAAATCAAGAAAAAACTATATTTTAAAAAAGCATGAAGAGCCAAAACCGGTTTGGCTCAGTGGTAGAGCGTTGGTCTGCGGACTGAAAGGTCCTAGGTTCGATTCTGGTCAAGGGTATGTATGTTGGTTGCGAGCACATCCCCAGTAGGGGGTGTGCAAGAGGCAGCTGGTCGATGTTTCTCTCTCATCGACGTTTCTAGCTCTCTCTCTCCCTTCCTCTCTGTAAAAAATCAATAAAATATATTTTTTTAAAAACTAAAAAAAAAAAACCATGAAGAATTATTTAAAAGTACCTAAATTAACTGCAACAACAACAAAAAACAATTTAAATCTTAGCTCTCATCTAAGGATTTAAAACAAAGGCCTAGGGCTCCACATGAGTGTAAGGTAAAGAAACTGCTAATTAGTGCAGAAGGAGGGTTGTCAATCATTTTGTATGGTTTTGTACCCCCAATTTTGAGAAAGAATCAATTGTATCTACTATTATTAATTTCATTTAGTGTTTAGATGCTCTAAGTGCTTTATATGTATTATCTCATCTCATCTAATCCTTACAATCCTACGAGGAAGGTACTTGAGTACCCCTGTTTTATATATAAGGAAATTGAGCCACAGACTAAATGACATTCCCAAAGTCACATTACTGTGAATCAGATTGGAGTGCTGACTATCTACCTGATGCCTGGGGATGCTTATCAAATAAAGGAAAGGTAAAAAACATAAAAGACTTACAGAGAACCAGGGCGGGATTATGCTGTGGTATTTTTGCTGTGGTTTGAGGATGCCATAATTTCCTGGCATTAATAGCATCACGTTCCATTGCTTTCAAGAGAAGTGAAACTGACACCAGAATGTATTATTTGCCTTGACACTTGTAAATATGCTTTGTGTAGAGGCAGCGCCTTCTCCATGTTTGGTGTAAAGCGAGCTCATGCCATAGCTTATGAATTCCCATACATAGTTATTAACCCCAAAGAAACAAAACAAATCACTTGTATCTTTCCACAAAATGGCGTTTTATTGCAGTCACACGTGGTTTCTCAGTGCCACAGAAAATTGCAATATAGGGACAATTTTTGGATGGCTCTCTACAGAAACATGATGAGTTTTCAGAAATGACTTGTGCAGGAATGTGGTTAATGAAAAATAAAAGGGGTCAAGAAGAGAGAGAGTGTGCAGTGTGTACACCAAATGGTTACTTTTAAAAACTCCTCCAAGCTCTCTCAACCCTTTTTGTCAAGTAAGATCCAAAAAAATTCATCAGAAACAGAAGTGATTGTGCTATTAAATACAAGGAATACATTTATTTGATAAAGAAACCATGAGAAAAGTGGACTGGGAAGGGCTCAGACTTATTCGCAACTCATCACTGGGAGTCTTGGTGTCTGTGCCAACAGTTCAGGAGCCAGCAGGCTACCTGGAGATGGGTTATAAGAACAAGCACAAAACCCAAGCTCTTCTCCGATGCTCCTGGTCCGTGCGAGAGCCTGCAGCGAGGCCAGAGAGGAAGCTGCGCCGGTCTCCTTGCCTCGCCATCACCGCTTCACCTTCTGCTTGCTGACCTGGAGGTAACGTGAGAGCTCTCCTTGCTTCGGCTGTGCAGTCCGGAAGACAGAACTTCCTCTAGGAAACTGACCAGCAGGTTGGAGGTTACTCCAGGGAAAAGGGAAGGAAGCATTTCCCATGTCTGGTTCCATCTCCCACCGTGCAGCCTACGCCCATCCATGCTCAACCTCTCACTGTTCCCGAAACATGTCATGAGCTTTCATACCTTATGTTTTGCTATTATATCCCATGTCCAAAAGGATAGACTATTCTTCTCTGTCCGGTGAAATCCTTATGATCTTTAAGGCTGAGGAGCAAAAGGCCCCATTTCTGTGAAACCTTCCCAAACTCCTTCATGCTGAACTAATCGTGCCCATCATGATGATCACTTGGCCCTCGTGCTGTATTAATATGAACGAGGTACTCTCCATATTTCTGTTAGCAAAACAGGGTAGGACTGTCGCTCCTTAGGGTGGAACTAAGACTTGCTCTGCTTGGGTCTCCAGGGCTTAATACAGCGGCTGACACCTAGAAGGTACTCAATAAAGGTATGCTGAAGAAATGAATTAAAATCGTTACCCATTGGCGAGAGAGCCTTCTTTATGATACAGTATTTGGGGCAGTATTTTTAAGTGTGTGGGACTCACTCTCAGGAGACAGATCTATGTAGACGGAAGGCTGGAGGAGTGACCCGGTACCTTGTTATTATCATTGGTTTGTAGTCTTAAACCTGGAAGAGTCTGACCTTAGAGGATTTAAATTCCAAACTCATTTGCAAAAGAAACACAATGGTGAAGCAGAGGGAAAGGAGTAGAAGCAGAGGGAAAGGAGTTATAAGCTAACGTTATTTCTCTACTGAATGCAGGCACCCTCTCTGGCCTGGCTTTTTGGCCAGTTGGACTAGAGACGCTTGGAGATCAGAAAATGACTTTTAGTGAGAATGAAACATATGTGCTGGGAAACACTATAGGGATCTATTAGGTGATCCCTGCTTCACTGCTTCACTTCAGACTCTGTGCAAGTCTAAGAAAGGAGTAGCATTCCTGAAATCATACTTAAAGATCCTCCCCTGTGTATCAACAAGACCCCACATTCTTGACTGCAGAGAAAACATCATTTATATTTTCCAAGCCTAATTTTGTTTCCTAGGGCCATTGTTGCTTTTCAAAAAGTATCTATTTGGGGACTTTGGTGAGTCACTGCAGAATGCTTTAACAATTACAGGCGATGAACATATTGCTTTCTGTACCCAAATTTAGACTATGCTTAAAAACAACAACAAAAATGCTTTTCTTTTCCAGGGTTGTTTTAAATCAGTCTCACTTAAAAAGCAAACTCAAAATCTCCTTTTCCTGACATGGCCAGTGTGGTTCAGTTGGTTGGAACGCCGTTCGTGCACCGAGGGGTTATGGGTTCAATTCTGGTCAGGGCACATACCTGGGTTGCAGGTTCGATGTCCAGTCAAGGCACATACAGGTGGCAATCAATATTTCTTTCTTTCTCTTCCCTACCCTCACACCCCTGCCCCGTCTCTCTCTTTTTCCTTCTCCCTTCCTCTCTAAAATCAATAAAAATTTTTCTAAAGAAAGTCCTTTCTCCTGTGGTACTGTAATCCAATTCAATTCCACTCAATTCAATTTAACAAGTGTTTCCTGTGCATCTGTTAAGTAGGCACTGAGCTAAGGTGGACAATGAACACTTGTGGTTCCTTCCTTGAATGTGTTCTCAGTCAGAGACAGACTCACAACCACAATTCAGTGGGAGGCGTGGTATAAACAGAGATGGGCCAAGAGCTAACCTGGGGGACTAATGCCATTGCTTGTCTTAGTTTGTGCCGTCATCAAGGGTACTTTCCCAACAAGATGGAAAGAAGGAAGGTGGGCAGACAAAAGCCCTGATTTTAAAAAGTCAACCTCAAAAAAAGTCTTGCACCACACATGAAAAAACACTTTTAAGTCTTTGTAAGGGACTAGGGACTAACACTTATAGGAGTTTAAAATTTAATTACTAAAGTAATTGAGCTGAACAACTGTGTCCCTAAACAAAACTATATATATATATATATATATATATATATAAATATATATATTTTTATTGATTTTTTACAGAGAAGAAGAGAGAGGGATAGAGAATTAGAAACATCAATGAGAGAAAATCACCAACCAGCTGCCTTCTGCACTCCCCCCACCGGGGATGCACCCGCAACCAAGGTACATGCCCCTGACCAGAATCGAACCCGGGAACCTTCAGTCCGCAGGCCGATGCTCTATCCACTGAGCCAAACCGGTTTTGGCAAAGCTATATATTTTAACAAGACAAAATTATGCCTATTTCTTCCTCTTTTTCCCCTGCCATAGTCCACAGATAGAAATTACATGTGAGTTTCTTATTACACCAAAGGAATCCAGACTCAAATCTGAAGAGTGCTACGTGAAGAAGAAGAAAAGAGTAGAATTTCTGAGAAGCAGGAAAGTAGAAAAAGACTTTCAGGAAAACAATGAGAAGAAAAACTCAAGATATTTGCTTTAATGGAGAAATGAGGCTTCTAATTACAACCAAATACTTAGCTAGAGATCCTGGAATATGGGAGTGGGTGAGTGAAGGAGAGGATAAAACTTTTCATAGCTTAAATACTGAAAACTCTCAATTTCCACTCCTTCAGTTTTCAGAGCCACTTAGTGGACATCCCCCAAGGAGCCTCAGACTGAAAGAGGGCGCAGGCTGGGCTGAGGGGACCCCCCTCCCCAGTGCACAAATGTCGTGCACTAGGCCTCTAGTATAATAATCATAACACAACAATAATAATAACAGCAAACACATATCACTGTATGTGAGGTACTGTTCTAATGAGATAGAAACTACCGCACTTTAGGAAGAAATTGAAGCACAGAGAAGTCAAGGTCTTACATCTTGAAAGTGGAATTCACACCCAGACAATATGGTTTCAGACTTCTTCTCTTATTGCAATTTTAAAAAAATTTATTGGGGGTGACATTGGTTAATAAGATTATGTAAGTTTCAATTTCACGAAGTGCCAAGGTACCAGGCCTGTAACGATGAGGTTTCTTTACCCCTCCAGTAGAGGGTGCACTCTTGCTAGCGGCTTTGGTAATTGTTTCCCTGGTGCTTTACTACCGGTCAGTTTGCGGGCAGTCTGCTTTGTGGGAGCCACGCTTTAGAGCCCTCTTTACTGACCCCTTCTCCTTGGACTGGAGCTTGGTGAGAGAGAGGCGGTGCTGTGAACACCGTTACAGAGGGGTTTTAAAGATGGGGAAACAGCACGCTTCTATCCTTGTGTGAATGGTCAGATGGAGAAAAACCGGTTCAGGAGAGAGGATGGGGTTTGGAGTCACGTCTTGGAGGGAGGGGATGGGATCTGGTGCTCAGGGGAAGGGCTGGTGTAGCTGGAAGCTTTCACCACTGTGACCCGAAGAAAGGCAGAGGGTGGCAGCGGAAGGGGGAGCTGTTGAAGTTCTCTTCTAATGGCTTCTCTTAACAATTAGTGCACATCTGAGTGGTACCTCCTTGATCTATGTACCCTCAGTAAAAACTAGATGTTAAGTATTTGATGAATGAATACATGTATCAGATTATTTTTTAAGAAGTTAAGACCCAGTTTAAGTGTCCCTTAACTTTTCCTAAATATTTGACAGCAAATTTACCAGAAAAAGGGGAAAGGTTGTCATTCTATGTCTGAAAGCACTCGGTGCGGCTTTGGTAGAGAGATCATCCTGCTCTTTACTGATTTCTACTTTACTTCCCATTATTTCTCAAATATGTTGTACCATTTCCTCCCTCCTGTCCTTAAGTATGCTGTTTCCTCAGCCCTGATTGCTCTTTCTTCCTATGGAAACCCAACGTATTCTTTAAGGTCTAACTCAAACGCTGTCTCCTCTGTGAAGCATTTCCTGAGTGCTCTGCCAGAATTAATTATTTCTATTTAGGACACATTTTATTTAACTTGCATATATTAACACTGCTCAAATTTTTGCACCTAAAAACCCCCTAACAACAGAAGAGAGTGAATTTATTAATCTGAGGGTATAGTCCAAATTGGTTCACAGCTTACATCTTTCTTTGTGGTCTGGTATTTTGTTTTAAAAACAATTTTATCTATTTTTTATAAAGGGAGCTTTTACATTTTGAGATAAACATTATTTTAAGGTACTTATCAGTTAAATTATTTAATTCTATCCTTGAAAATCTCCCCAACTAATTGGGGAGAACAGATACTCCAAAAGATGTATCATGTTCATTTTGTGCCTGGATAAAGATATAAAACAGTTCCTTGATTATAAACAATTTCACTGAGGTTATTTTATCCTGTGACACTTTCATACAAACAATGTAACTGCCTATTAGGAAATGAAGCTGCTCTATCCCGGTTCCCACCTTAGTACTGGATGCCTGAAAAAACAAAAAACAAAGCAAAGCAAAACAAATACAGCCCTTGGCCTATTTCCTCTCTCACAAGAACAGGGGGGAGAGCAACCAATAGGATTCTGCATGTACCCAGCACTGTGCATACAACATTCATTGGGGTATCATGTGAGCAGAAAGGATTACCCTCATGGTCCACAGGGCAAAAGATTCATTACTCGGGTATAAACTGCCTGCACTATTGGTTACCCAGATTCTGAAAGGAGATTATTGTCTGAGAATAAAAAGAGCTGCAGATGTACTTTCTCACCCCTGCAAACATTTGAGACCATGTCAATTAGTCAGAGCAACCACAACTACAGGAATAGAATGGTAACCATCATTTTAAAAAGTTCAAGAAACAAAGCCCCAAATAACCTAACTGTAGAAAGCCTTGGATGCCAATGACTCTACGCAAGTCTATGAATTCTAGAGGCACTGACTCTGGGGGCCTCAGAGGGGAAGTTATAAGTGAGCCCTAATGGAAATTGAGCTACTCAAAACTTTTCTCCTCACAGATCATGATCATCATCTGGCAACTGGCCATCTTCATAGCAAGTTTTACTACTGCCCCAGTATATTCATACTTAGGACACTAATATAATTCTGCTCCTGAATTGTGTGAACTGAAAGTGAAGTATGGGTGATGACACAGATACTGATGATA